ACGAATCATCAAACCTCCCATCCTGCGCTAGCTTAGACGCCAACTCAGCATAGTATTTAAGACCATTACAGCTACCTACACACAAGCGAAACCAAAATTTGACGTTTATGAGTTCGAAATTCAGTTACATTAAAGGAGATAGTTCAAATGATTTTAGCCAAAGCTATTTACCTGAGGCGGAAGCGGAATCCCATCGCAATGAGGATAGAAGCGGAGATTGAGGAGTAGTGATGGATGAAGTGAAATGAGACGGAGAATGAGTGGGCTTTCGTTTGGGCTTGGCGGTGGTGCGGCGGTAGTGACGGTGGTGCGGCGGCGGAGTAGGGGAGGAGTTGGGCGGGAGAGTAATCGACGAAGATGGAAGTATCACCAAAGCTTCTCTCATTACTTCTTAGCCAACCGTTTTTTTTGTTTTTTTTTTTTTATTTTTCTGTTGAATGTGAAGTCCATTTGTAAGATGAATTTATTTTATATTATTTTATTTTATTTTATTTTATTTTTTGGTGTTAATTGAAATAAATATTTTGGGTATATAGTGGGATGGAATTTGGAAGGCTGAGTTTTTTGCACATTGTTGTATACTTTGTTTGTTGAGGAAATTATTATATTTGAATAATATAAAAATCTTTAAGGAAGTGATTGGATTCCATATATATATGAAAAATTTTGATTTCGTAAAATGTATAAAAATAGTATTTAATATGATATGTTAATAATATTACTTATGAGTAATGATGGATTAGTTAATGTTAAATTAGTTATTAACTTGTTATTCTTTGGTTTGGTGTATTAAGGGCGATTTTGCGCGTTATTTGATTTGATGTATTACAATTTACAAACATGTTTATTTTTAAATACGATTTTCACAATTTTTTTGGGTAAAAGGATGAATATATCTTTGAAGTATTATAAAATGGTATGTAAATACTCTTTGTCATATTTTAGGGACATTGATGTCCTTATCGTAAAAAAACTAGAGCATATATACGCTATTACTAACGGACATACACGTGTCATAATCTTATTCACTGACCCGACATCGATATTGTAAGCTCCAAGGGACTGAATCGATATCGAAATGACAAGCTTATAGAAAGTTTCAACAAGTATACAATTGTCTGAAGGTAATTAAGGATTTTACTAAGAAAGTGCATATAAAATTGAGTGAGTCCTTTGGATTTGGTTGTATGTATAGCTGGGTTTGAGGTGTCATGTCGATCACAAAGTTGATTTCGTGGTGATGAAAAGGGCTAACTGAGCATGATGGTAATAAGAATTTCTAATGATTGTGATTGAGATGCAACTATATGATACAGATTGTTGGTTAAACACATTTGTGTTTTTTAATGACGAATTACAAGTATCTAATTTGTTATTTGCTACTGTTTGGTCGGTAGCGTGGTCATATGAAAAGTTGTAGGATGTGTCGAGACACCACTTGAATATAATTGAAAGGATCTAAAATCAAAATAAAAAGAATTAGTGGGATGTAATTTAGCTTTAGATGAAGGAAAATAGGATCAAAGATGTATCTTCAGAAAGAGTGGAGAATTGGGTCCCGAGACACGTGATTCAATCTGTTTTACTATGGTTATGGTGATAGTGTTAGACGTAGTTCATATGAGTTTAAATTGTTGGATAAAATCTAAGGAAGAATTCTAAATATGTTCGGCTCAAGTGTGGTGATAAGTTCTTTTATGGTTTCGCGTTTGGTAACTAATATGGTTGAATTCTTATTGAAGGATACGATAAGATCGATGTAGAGGCGATTAATAATAAGCTAAGATACATGAATTCATAAACATCTTCAATGTACGAGCTAAGGTTGATAGATAATAGATTTGTGTTACATGGTTGAGATCAAAATTCAAATTTTTCATTTTAGTCCAAATTTGTAGCAGTGTTTTGTCAAGATATAAATTGATAAAATAAGAAATAATCGACCACATTGAGTGTTAGGCATTCGGAAGGATTTGTGCATGGTTTGAGTCGTAAGTTTGCTACTCATCTTTTTCTCTTCTATTATTTTGTTTCTCTCCGTCATTGACCAAATTTGAGCCTGCATAATATTTCAAATGTTTTCAAATGTATTAGATACTGAAAATATGAGCTTAGAGGAAAAATAATTATTCAGTCAACCACAAGTTAGCAAATAGGCAGAAAGAATGAAAATAAGCATCATCTGATTTTGGATCCACTCCAACCCCTATTGGATTAGTTACCACTGAAGAAAATATCTATTCTTCCTAGAATCATTAGTCGTAATCAAAGTGGCTTTTGTCAAAGCGGTAGGGACGTTATTGAAAATAATTTCTTTGCCCAGGAAATTGTTAATGACATTAAGAAGTCAAATCGAGGTGTAATGTCATCATTAAACTTGACATGTCTAAAGTATATGATAGATTGTCTTGGTCTTTCCTTTGCTTTATTATAAGATAGATTTATGTCAGTATTTGCTAAAACTTCGTGCGGTACTCGACAACTTACTCACAACTTGGATTGTTGAATGGATGATTTACAAATGAATGGGTCTCCTATTTATACTACATCCTAAGGGCCTTAGTGTAAATAAAATTTAATATACAAGTCCTTTTACTAACTACACTTTAGTCCATATTTTAGAGAATTCTACATTGTCTAGAATATGCTAAAGTCTTCTACAAAGTTGTAAAGTATTCTAGGGAATTTACTAATCTTTCTTCAAAGATCTAGAAGGTTTTAGAGCTCTCCAGAAACCTCTTCAAGACTCTAGCTCCTTCTACCCCATTCGGACTTCAAATTTGGCTGCAATTGTGGTGGGACGTCACATTTATCTCTAATAACCGGTACTCTAGCAGACAAGGTTTCTTTATCCCCCTGTTGAACTTCTCTCACAAATGCTTAACTCTCTGCATTTAAAGGTTTCTACCTGAATATTTATGGTTCACTGATTAATCATATTTTTTTTACAGATGACACAATCATTTTCAGCAGTGGAAACAAGACGTCCCTCCAATTAATGGAATCCTATGCCTGGAAAAGTCTTAGACAAAGGAGAAACATTTCTCAGTTTAATTCAAGACTTAATAACACAAAAAGATGTTCTTTATAAAATGTCATTTGTAGCTTGGAGAGGCTATGTATGACAAAAATTTCAAGATTTGAAATTACTTGGTAGAAGCATTAGCAGAGGGAGTTGAAGAGAAAGCATATCGAAAATTGTCCTTGGTAGAAGCTATTTGCCATGAATTACAAACACAATTGAAAGCAACGAAATCTTCAATCACTTTAACACGATTCGCAATCAGAACAAGGAGATCATGAGCTTTGTTGGTTTAGCTAGATACTACCGTCGATTTGTCAAGGGATTTTCTTCTGTTGCTTCCCAACTGACCAATTTGACTAAGCAGAGTGTTCCATTTGTGTATTTTTTATGTGTATTTCTCAAACTTTTGCCATTTTGGGGGTATTAACGTAGTATTCGGACATTTTCACATAGTTATGAAAAATAAGTAATATTTTGTTCAACTATTCATCACGAAAATTCTAAGGTCATTGGTACAAGTCAAAAAATATTTGATGCATTTTTTTACATTTTCAAGCAGAACAACCTCAACGACAGGTACCATCAGTCAAAGAATGCATGAATTTAAAATGGCATGTGTGAATCAGCTAGGTGAAATTTACGTCATCCATTTAGCATCAATCAATTTTTATTTGCATTTGACGTGGCATGTGCACGGTAAAAGTGTTCTAATGTTGATGGATGAAATGGTAATTCTTTGCTGCATATAATCATAATAATATTACACTTAAAGATGCACCAAATGATCCACGAAATGCCATAATAATTAACGTATGAATGATGATAAAAAAAAGACGGTCTAAGTTGTAAAACCTATAAAGTCCTCAATCATATATGTTAAATCCCATAAAACTCAACAACCCTAAACCCTGAAGTTGTAGAACCATAAAAAATTTAACCTAAATGTGTTATCTGCAATATGTTATGTGCTATGTGTAAGATGTTATGTTTTGTGAATAATATGATAAATATGATGATGCATGTTACTCTTCTTTTTGTTGTTTTGTTTGTTTTGTCTTTCCTTTATCATTATTGTTTTGTTTTCTTTTTTCCTCATTTTCTTTTGATTGTGCTTGAACATTTTCCTTCCCCTTTTGATTTTGTTCCCCTACATGTATTTTTTTCTTTGTTCTTTTGTGGAGTGCAGCAAATGTACCATTGATTTCGACTCGTCCTTAGCTCTTTTATTAAGGTATTAGATTTAGAATATATTACTTAGATTAAGGTTTATGGTTTACGACTGAGTGTTTTTTTATGTTTCTAATCTTAGTTTAATGGTTTTATTATGGGGCAATCCTGTCCAATCCGCCATAGCTTGATAGGATTCGAAGAAGATGAAGAGGATTTTAGGGCAAATAGAAGGAATTTGAGGGTGTTCTTTTTATAACAGGGAGGGAGACAAAGGACTTTCCTTTCGAAAAACTTACATAAATATATTATAATAAAAAAATATTTATCAATCATAATTCATAATTATAATCATAATTATAATATTTTTTTATTTAATCACGTATGACAAAAAATAATAATTTATTATTCATATATATTGCATATATAATTTATTTTTAATACATATTACAAATTTAACATATTATTGCTATAAATGGTAATAAATAAAAAGTATCGCTAAAATTAATAATTATTTATTTAAAATTACTACTCCAAATAGTTTTTCCTTTCCTATATTCACAAGGGTTTGGAATGTCATATGTTTTGGACTTGGTTTACGAAAAATTACGTGAAAATTGTCTAATATATATATATATATTCATTTAAGTATTTTAACTTTACCCTTTTTTCAAATTCAACATTTAAATTTTTTAGCTTAACTATTACAATCTCTAGTCCAAGTCTATCAAAATTCATTATTTTAATTTTTACCTACCACCCTACCTCACGTAAAATAGTCACATTTTCTCTTAATTTAATCGCGTTGTTCGTGGAATAATAACTCTAGTATTGCTTATTTGAACCAAAAGTGTGGATTGTTCATGTACTAGTTTGTGTCTATCGAGATACGTATCTCTTCAAATTGTCTGTATATACACATAATATATAGACTGTATTGATTAAATTTAGCCTTGTACACAGCAAGCATTCAAGATTTCTTTTATATCTGGATCATCACCTGCTTCTTTGTCCTGCCACAATCAAGAAATAACAAGAATTATCCAAGTTTCATATGATTAAAAAAATGACGAAATTTCGAAAATAGCAGAACTTTGAGCCTTAATTATCAATCATAGCTATAGTTTAGTTAATTACCACATGTAGCAATAATTTACTTAAAAAAAACTCAGTGATTCACTCTATCTGTTGTATTTGTTCACTGTATATCAGAACGGAGTCAATACAGCTCCACGCGAACAGATACAGAATGAAACTGATAAAACTCAAACTCTAATTATGTATTGAAACTTAAATCTCTGTTGAGAAGTAAAGCCGAAAACTAACTAATTGGCGAGCATGAAGCTTCGAGCTATTCTCAGACAATGACGAGTTATTTAATGGAGTATAAATTGTGTATCAAGATTGGGAAGACGAAGGGACGGAGACTTACCTTGTGAATGTATGTAATGTTATTTTTACCAGGACCTGCAACAATAATTCCTCCTTGTCGCCTGATAATTTAACAAGCTTATTAGTTTCACATGTTACTGCATTTGTGTTGTTTTGCACAGAATTATAAAGAATCGAACAACCAAGAATGTCATATACCAACTATAAGCTAAAATGATAGTGAAACTATGGCTTATGGTTTACCTATAGATAAACGGAAATGATGAAATTCTTTTATGTTAGCTTAAAACCCCATTCACTTCAGGTGGATTTTACAACAACGGAATTGCTTAGATAAGCTAATTGTTCCTTGTTTTCTTATTACACCAAACTTGATACGGTGTTAGGAAATCAGGAGTCAACCATCAAAATTGTGCAACTTCTAGAAATAGTAAGTCTCGTCCAATTACAAGATATGTACTTGCACTATTAGCAAACAGATTCAGCAACATACCCAGTGTAATCCCACTAGGTGGAGTTTGGGGACGAGAGGGTGTGACCTTACCCCTACCTCGTGGAGGTAGAGAGACTGTTTCCGAAAGACCTTTGAAAAACAAATCAGAAGATTATAATAGCAGATGAGGAAAATGACTTACCAGCCACCTCGTGTCCTGGTGTCCTTTTCGAAAGAAAGCTCCCAATCTTGTCTATAGCCTTCCATGTATGCCTGTATTATTTTCAGACCCGCCTAGATTTGATGTAGATAAGAAAAGATGAACAAGACCACTATTAGAATACATTGAGAAGCTGGAAATGTTACACTTTATGAGTGTCAATCTAATTTGAATTACCCCGGGAGTAAATGTGGTTGTAATGCCAGACACAAATCTCAGAGCCTCATAAGACCTATAGCTTGGATCAGCATAAACCTCTGAAATAAATGAATCTCCGTCAGGTGTAATTTTTTGAAAAATTCGCATACAAAGAAAGCTTTGAAACAAAACCAGACTATACTTTAACTTAATAAGAATGCCAATGTAACAAACTAGCAACACTTCTAGCAGCTGTCTTACAAATGAATTCTCGATTTTTTTTGGGTCGTGACAGGTTTTTGTCTTCTGGATCTTTCTAATTTGTATAGAAGAGGAACATAACATCACATGATCAGGCCCTGGTACTTTCTTTCTCTTTATGTTCGAGGATGGATGTACGTTTTAGTAGTGAATGATGTAGCAACTCTCTTAGCCGTTTTGTGAATTTTTACCTGTTTTAACCCTTCCCGTAGCTTTAGAATTATACACATCAGATATAATATATCTTATATCCTCAGTTCTTCACATTGTTAATTCTACTAATGCTGAAAATTTTCTTTTAGGGGAAACTGTAACTTATAGTGCAATAGCATTGAGCGAGGTCACTGGTCCTGTGGAGCATATATATCAGTGGACATTGCTAGAACCGAGTTCATGGGATATTCAGACGTCCAGTAACAGACACTGAGCCACTGCGGACACAAGGTTTTTTATTTGAAACTTACCTCCTTTAAACTTTGTTTGCTCGTAGAATTTTCTGGCCTGGAGAAAAGAAAAAGAAGAGGACTCAAGTCATAACTCAATCCAGCTTTACTGAGCTCTTGAAATCATAAAAGAGCAAGAAACAGAAAGGACGAAGAAGATCCTTGTAATAGAAAAAGCTTCTATTCTTGGCGTAATACATAAACAGACTCAAACTTCGCCGTAACTGGTAAGTAACACTCCAATTTTGAGTATGCACATCTAACACCATAACTCTCCGTTATTCCAGTTGGACACTCCACTTAAAAAATGATTATCTAGACACCTCCAAAATGTATGTGTCACGTCAAAGTCGAGTATCCACGAGACACAATGTGGACAAGTTGGAGCGTTTAGTTGTCAGCTATGACCAAGTTGAGGTGTCTAGATTCCACTCACAAAGTTTGAGTACTTTTACTTGTCAGCTGAGGTCAAGTTTGATCGTTTCTTTATCAATTATGCCTTTATTCGTCATACCCAAATGATTACGAGAGTTGATAAGCAACTTCTAAGAGTGGGATGATGTTACTTAGGACAAGGAAATGGAAGGTGTCATAACTGGTTAAGATTTGTTTGTTGTTGTTGATAAGTAACCATTTAAAAAATATCTCGAAGGGGAACGAAAAAAGAAAGTTAATCTGTGGATAAGCAACTCAGAGCAAGAAGCATCGCTGCTATTTACCTGATCAACACTACCAGGTCCAATCAAAACAAGTGCGACTCCTGCTGCATCCATCTTATCCTGTGAACAGAAAACAGTATAAGGATGTAAACTGTAGTAATGGTGGAACTTAAGGATATGTGCACAGTCATCGGTGTGGTTAGAATAACTTTTTTAACGCACTGAAGATAACATAAATCTGAATTAAAACGACAACATACTCAGTCTAATCCCACAAGTGGGATCTAGGGAGGGTAGTGTTCATGAAGACTTCACCTCTACCTTGGGAGGTAGAGAGAATGCTTCCTATGGAAAGTATGGTCTGTAAACTATGATATGTACGTTATAGTAGACACTGCAACTTATGTTATTCCCACGACTTAACTCACCAACATCAAACAAGGATACTAAGACAAGTCATTTGGACCTGGAAATACATTAGTCAGCTTTGGGATAGTTTCAGCAGAACACATGGAAGAAAAACATGATAACATTCGTAAATGTAGTCAAGAAGAAGCATTACCTTCTCAGCTGCAAGATAATCAGCTCTTATGCGACAAAGGACGCATCTGCAATCGGGATCTAGAATAAGTAGCACATACTTCACCAATAACATGCTTTTTGATTACCAGTTTTGGAAGAAATAGAGCATAAGGGCATGGAAAGATTACCCAAAATGACGAGCAAAGGCAACAACTGCCTTCCTATCTTTCCACAAATCCGAAATAGGTACTCCTTGTCCATTCAGATCAAATACTTGAACATCGTCCAACACATTGATGGTGTCCTCACTCACCACTGGAGTCTCAGTTTCTATTTCAATCAATACTCTAATATTTATTAACAAAACTAAACATCTTAATTATCATTAGTAGTCAATGAAGTGTATTGAGAACCATGAGGTCTGAGGTTCAGTTCCTAACGGAGGCTAAAACACTAGGTGATTTTTTCTCATCTGCCCAAGCTTTGAAGGACAAACTGTGTAGATACGTGTATAACATACCTTGAAGAACTATCATATTTTATAAAAGGACCCCTAAAACATATCTGTTGGATTGGGACATCTGGTTATCGTGTCACTTTGGCCCTTGAGCGCGAATGTGCAACCTGCATTCGAGTCTTGACTACAACAGTTCGTATTATTATGGAGTTTAATTGATTCTTTACTTCAATTGACATACTAAAGATAGTGGTATTCCCGTCGCCTTCAAATCTTGGGTCTGCCTCTAGTTATGAGTTCGGCATAACTAGCAACTTAGGCTCAAACCCCATATTTGTTTCGAGAAATTCATTTAATATGTATAAATAATCTATCCAGAATCCAATATACGAAAGAAATTGTGATTTGAACCCAATGTACTATTTCTCTAATTCACATAATAACATTAGTCATTAATTTATAAACACACACTCAACTCTTGACTTCACAAGTAACTACTCCAACTTTAGAAGTGCACGTCGTGCACGTCTAGATACCTCAATGTATAGTCTCAAAGACCAACTAAACACTCCAATTCGCCCGATGTGCCTCATGGACATCTACAACACTCAAACTTTGAATACGTGATACAAGTTGTTGTATGTCAAGTGGACACCCAACACTACCTCTATAGTTCACATAATATCACTAGACATAATATATAAATAAACACTTAACTTGGCCTCACCTAGCACGTAACTACTCCAACTTTGAACGTGTACATCTACAACACCTCAACTAAGTGTTAACTAGCAACTAAACACTCCAACTTTGAATGTGTACATCTACAACACCTCAAGTTAGTGTTAACTAGCAACTAAACACTCCAACTTTGAATGCGTACATCTACAACACCTCAACTTATTGTTAACTAGCAACTAAAGACTCCAACTTTGAACGTGTACATCTGCAACACCTCAACTTAGTGTTAACTGGCAACTAAACACTCAAACTTTGAGTGCGTACATCTACAACACCTCAACTTAGTGTTAACTAGCAACTAAACACTCCAACTTTGAACATGTACATATACAACACCCCTCAATTTAGTGTTAACTAGCAACTAAACACTCCAACTTTGAAATTGTACATCTACAACACCTCAACTTAGTGTTAACTAGCAATTAAACACTCCAACTTTGAACGTGTACATCTACAAAACCTCAACTAGTGTTAACTAGCAACTAAACACTCCAACTCCAACTTTGAACGTGTACATCTACAACACCTCAACTTAGTGTTAACTAGCAACTAAACACTCCAACTTTGAACGTTTACATCTACAACACCTCAACTTAGTGTTAATCTCGCAACATAACACTCCAACTTTGAACGTGTACATATACAACACCTCAACTTATTGTTAACTAGCAACTAAAGACTCCAACTTTGAACGTGTACATCTGCAACACCTCAACATAATGTTAACTAGCAACTAAACACTCAAACTTTGAGCGCGTACATCTATAACACCTCAACTTAGTGTTAACTAGCAACTAAACACTATACCTCATGGACACCCAATGTTGACGTAACACATAAGTTCGAGTATCCAACTGACACAGTAAATGCGAATTGAGGTACATACTCAAAATTGGAGTACTTATAACAAGACAAAGAAGATAAGCTAACCTCTGGAGCTGTAGATAACAGAGGAGGACCTGTGGGAGGCAGAAATGGCTAGAAAATTGGGGGTTAAGCTGAAATTGCAGTTGAAACTAAACGGGTTTGTTGTCAAATTAACATTGTGAAGTGGGGTTTGACGAATACTTCTGCTAACTGCCACAGTAAGACCAGAATTGAGAGAAATCGCCATTGACGTAAAGAGTGTAAAACAGAGGATTCTTGAATGCTTTGGAAATGTGGAAACTAAGCTTACACGTGGTTAAATATCCCCTTCTTAAAAATATTTTAGGAATACTACGTGACAATTTACGTCTTACGTGATATTTTTCTTGTATAACGTAATATCGGACGTAAATTCATTTTGTTTAATTTTATATAAGTTTAAGTGTTTATAGATATACGTTCAGAGTTTGGAGCGTAGATATTGGTTGAAGCCCTAACTTTTGGTACAACAGAAACCGTATCCATTTGTCACGATTTATGTACTTCCTCCGTTTCAAAAAGAATGTTTTTATTTCCTTTTTAGTCTGTTTCAAAACAAATGACCCCGTTCTTTTTTTAGCAACACTTTAATTTAAATTTTTTAAATGACATATTTAAGACCACAAGATTAAAGGACATTTTGATATATTTGACATAACTTTATTTTTTCGTAAACTCTGTTCTAAGTTAAATTAGATTATTTTTTTTAAACGGAAAGAGTAATATGTTTGAAAACTTGGTCACATCAAAACATATGTTAATATTATTTTATAAGTAGTTGAAAAATAAAATGTAAAAATACTATATTTTAAAAATAGCTTAAAATTTAAATAATGTATCACATTAATATGTTTGAATTTAAAATATTTGTTTAAACTAAATTCTTTTTAAAAACGAGATTATAATCTACCTAATTTTCAATTTTAATTAATTTTATATGTCTAATTTTAAATAGATAATTTTATCAACTTATCATCTTTTATTTGCCCTTCTTTTTTTTTTCTTTTATAAACTTTGCATATTACAAAATTTTAATGTATGGATTTATTTTTCTTTATCTATATCTAAATCTATATCTAATCTTCTATATCTATAATAAATGGTTATAAAATACCTTTAAAAAGTGCCACCAAACTATCTAAATTTTCTTTTTTTTTAAATAAACGTGTGAAAAAGTATAGAAGATAGAATATTCTTGCACCATGGCATATTCGAAATTATGGGTTGATCTTTTTGAGACATAAATTATAATCAAAAATTCCTTTTCATAAACATTTATTAAAAATATATAAAAAAAAATATGATAAATAATTCGAGATTATTAACTTTAATAATTGTCTAAAGATTTATATTGTTAAACAGATAAAATAGCGAAATAATGATATTGAGATGAGTATACAGATGTACTAAGAAAGATATGAAGGAATACTAATTTTCGAAATAAGATGGAGGTGATATATGCAATTTGATAGATAAAATGAAGGAGGTGAAACGTAGATCGTTCAGATGTATGATAAAAAGATACATAAATATCAAATGAGGAGGTGTGCGATTTGATTAATATGTGTGTATCAAAGAGGTACATATAAATTAAGAAGTGTAGAAGAAAGATGATTAAACAAAATATGGCGTATATACAACTTACTTAGAAAAATGTAAAAGTCAAAAATTAAGTAAATTGTTATTCCTTTTGTCTTAATTTATATGACTTACTTCATTTCTAGTCCGTTAAAAAAATAATAACATAATTCTATAACTTTAAAAATACTTAATAAAATGATTTATTGCAACACGTATTTCTATCATTCATTTAGATCACAAGTTTAAAAGTATTTATTTCTTTTTAAAATTTCATGTCGAGTCAAACAGTATCATATAAAATAGGACAAAGAGAGTAATATATAATCAATCGTTGTTTCATTTCTTTTACCATTATTATTATTATTAATATTATTATCATCACGCTCATTCTATCTTAATCTTCAATTTAATTATCATAAGTCGTTTCACTCCGATCCATTGCTTCAATTACCATATTATTTGTAGCTGCTACTGTAATTACTCTATCTTTTTTATACACGGCTTCTTATTACTTTATTTTCTTCCCATACTTGATTTAATATGCTAATTTAATTAACTCGAAAGTCTATCAAAATTTAAAAACAACTTTTTTTACGTTTAAATAGAAAGACTATGTATACACCGTCACGTTATCGAATTCACCCAATAAATCCGGGTCGATTCATTTGACCCGTTAACATAGACCTAGAAATTTTCAATACTCTTTCCTATTTACTAGGAAATCGCCACCCTTTTTCTCCCCTTTTTCACTTTTTCTCTTCACACTTCTCAAGAAAAATAACTCCGGGAGAATTTTCCGGCAATGGCGGCCATGATCCGCCTGTTCAGATCTTCATCATCTTCATCATCTCTTATCAGTAGATCTTTATCTACAGCAGCTGCATCTGAGACAGTGAAATCCCGATCTTACCCTCATTCTACAAGTGTTGAACCCAAGGCTAAATCTGTTCAATGGGTCTTTTTGGGTTGTCCTGGTGTCGGAAAAGGTACATATGCTAGCCGTCTCTCAACCCTTTTAGGCGTTCCTCATATTGCTACTGGAGATCTTGTTCGTGATGAGTTGAAATCTTCAGGTCCTTTATCGAAACAAGTATGTTGTGCTGCTTGTCCCTTTTTTTCTTCCAATAAATTTGGGTTTTATCTGTAAAGTCAAATACTTGTTGCTTAGAGTGCATTCATAAATTTTGAGATTGATTTGTTGGTGAGTTAATCGGAAATGGTTTCTCTATCCCACAGAAGTAGTGATAGTAGTGGTAGGGTGTGCGTGTATCCTACCCTCTCCGGAGTAGTTGTTGTTGATTTCACTTAGAGTGATCGAAAATAGTACCCCATAAAGGTAGAATTAGATGTGTATATCTTACCTCCCCAAACCTCGCTTGTGTTATTACACTGGGTATGTTGTTGTTGATATCTTCTAGAGTCGCCTATGTGTTGTGTAGAGTAAAGCGGATGTTGTCCGAGGCACAGATGGAGAACGTAAGATTGGGAAAATGATTCTTTATGATAGGGAATGAAGGGATGGTAGACTAGATTGGATCTAATTTGGCAGAGAAGAGACCGCGAAAATTTGATCCATTCAGGTAATGTCTGGAAATAAGTTTGGTGGAAGCTTAATAATTGAAGGTCGGCCTTATCTAGAGTTTTACTTACTCGTATATCAAGTATGCTATGTTGTTGTCAGTGGACGAGACTATTCCTATACTTTTGGGGAGTCTTTTAGTCATGATTTAGATTTATATACCTGTAAAAAATATAGACGTTCTTGAAGTTATTATTTATGTTTTAATTTTTGTGTGTTAGCCTTAGATAATCTAAAATGGAGCTATATGGTAATAGAGGATTCATATGGCCGACCCTAGCTTGAGTTCGGGATTGAGGCATAGTTGTTCTTATTATATTATCTCCAGTTTATGGTGTTACTTCATGAAATTTGTTCTTCTCCTGACCGGCTTCATCCTCTTTCAGCTTGCAGAGATTGTCAACCAAGGAAAATTGGTTTCAGATGAGATTATACTGAATCTACTATCCAAAAGGCTTGAGAGTGGGGAAGCTAAGGGTGAAGCTGGATTCATACTTGATGGTTTCCCTAGAACTGTGAGACAAGCAGTGAGTATACATTTAATTTTCCTGCATAAAATTTATCTATGCTCTGGTTATCTCCATAAACCTTATATATTGAGATTGAAATGTTATGCTCTGCTTATCTGTGAGAAAATAACTAGCCTATGACGGTGAGTATGAATTAACCATTCCCGTCTAACCAAAAAGAAGAAAAGTAAGAAGTTAGAGGCTAAATGCTGCTCAAGTTAGGTTCAATGTTAAATGCATTAGCCTGAATATTGGAAGTCAAGAATGATGCTTGGAATAGTGTATTGTTGTATTAGTTACTTAAAACCTTCATAAAATAGGATTTTATTACCACTGTTCATTAAAGTAGCTTCTTGAATGCCTGGTAATTTCTGCCCTGTTCACGACTTCACCCTACTTCTTTGTCTAATTTATATGACTTTTGGTAAAAAGAATTGTGACAAGACTTCTGATTTTAGTCTTGTCAGCAGAGGTATAGGAACTGGGAAAGAAAGTGAAGATCCTTTGCAACAGTTCGCTACCTTTTTGTCTATGAAAAGGTACCCCCCACCTTATGTGGCTAGCGGGGTTTGAAAAGAGGATGGAAGTGATATCAAAACTCTATTTCGTATTCCAGTCGCTTCTCCAAGTACATTTGTGTAATCAAAATTTATCTCAGAGGTGTAAAACAAAGTTTTGTGCTAGTTATATAACATTCGTGTCTATTTCTGCATCAGGAAATATTGACCGAGGTGACAGACATAGATTTGGTGGTTAATCTCAAGCTTCCAGAGCGGGTATTGGTTGAGAAATGCCTTGGCCGAAGAATCTGCAGTGAATGTGGAAAGAATTTCAACGTGGCATCTATAGATGTCGCTGGTGAAAATGGGGCTCCTAGAATCAGCATGGCTCCCCTTAATCCTCCCTCTCAGTGTATATCAAAGTTAATCACTCGAGCAGATGATACAGAAGCCATTGTGAAGGAAAGGCTCAGTATATACTGGGATAAGGTACTGTTCTGATATTTTAACCACAATATTTTCAAGTTCCGCTATTACTCTAATAAAGCATTTTTCCTCAACACGAGTAACTACTATCAGAGCAACACTCACAAGTTAACGCCTTAACAGTCATTCAGCATCTATGCTATCTGATTCTCGCTCTTATTTATGATTGCAGAGTCAGCCTGTTGAGGACTTCTACCGTAGCCAAGGTAAGTTACTGGAATTTGATTTACCGGGAGGCATCCCCGAATCATGGCCTAAGTTGCTGGAAGTTCTCAACCTTGATGAACAAGAACATAAACTGTCTGCTGCAGCTTAGTTTCTCTCCGCTGCTTTGCTTGTGTGCTACGCGTTAAACAATTTTGCAGAAAAAAGAACATATTGATTCGTTTCCCTTCTATTTTCCGCTTAAATTTAAGTCAAAATAACAAACCTTTTGAGTGTACTTTGAAGCCGTAACAATACGGTGGCATCCATTGTTGAATTTCGAATTCATATGAAGAGGTCTGTTGTACCATAGTTTCAACTAAAGAGTTATAAAGATGATTATTTTTTTACAGTTGTGTAATAAGCTTATAGTAATTGATAGCATTCTGATTTAATACTTAGGTAAATGA